AAGTTTTTCTTAAAATATTAATGTTTATTGCATATAATATTATTATATTTAAAATCGTTTTTCTTGAGATATTAATGTATATTGCATGAACATTATATTCAAAATCATCTTTCTTGAAATATCAATGCTCATTGCATATGACATTACTATATTTAAAATAGCTTCTCTTGAAATATTAATGTTCATTGCATGTATATTATATTTAAAAGTTTTTCTTAAAATATTAATGTTTATTGCATGTAACATTATTAAAATAAGAAATACGAAAAAGATAAGAGAGAGTAGAAGAGAGGAAGGGAGGCGAAGAGAGAGAGAGAGAGAGAGAGAGAGGAACACCCATGTGAGAGAGACACATCGATTGGTTGCCTCCCACACGCATCCTGCCCGGGGATCGAACTCACAGCCCAGGCCTGTGCCCTTGACCGGGATTCGAACCCGGGACCCTTCAGTCCGCAGGCCGACGCTCTACCCACTGAGCCACACCGGCCACCTTCCCTGGTGGGACTCACTGGGCGGATCCGGTCTCGAACCCCCGTGTCCTGGGGTCTCACCTCTGTAGACACCGTTCCACCCGCCCAGCTGGCCCAGCTGCTCGTCTCTGGCCTCCAAATGGCCCCCGTGGTCAGAGGTGAAGTAGGTGAAGGTGGTGTTTTTTAACCCATTTTCTTCCACGGCCTCGAGGATTTTGCCTTCAGGAAAAATGGACCCGTGATTAGGACAGAGTCAATCAAACAGCATTGATTATGGGGGGGCCCGGCTGGTGTGGCTCAGTGGTTGAGCATCCACCGAGGAACCAGGAGGTCACGGGTTCGATTCCCGCTCAGGGCACAGGCCCGGGTGGCGGGCTCCATCCCCAGTAGGGGGCGTGCAGGAGGCGGCCGATCCATGATTCTCTCCCACCATTTATGCTTCTATCTCTCTCTCTTCCTCTCCCTTCCTCTCTGAAATCCATAAAGACATATTTTTTTAAAAAAGAAAGAGCCCTAAAAAAAATAAAATAAAAAAATAAAAAAA